TGGCAGGTAAATACTCCAACATCTAATATAAGCTACTTGTGCAAAAAACCCCAAACAAAAACCAAAACTAACCCCAAAACCTACAAATTCTCAGTTCTCAAGTTCAAAAAAAAAACCCCAAACCCCTCAGCGTCCAACAGAGACTCTTCACCCAAGTAACTCAGCTTCTCTGATGGACTTATATTTCACTTTGCCCTTGTCCTTCCATACATTTCGGTGTGTATGCCTGAGAAGTAGCAGCAGGAGAAAGACAAGAGCTGTATTTGTCTAACTATACTTCTCCTTGACAAGCCACTTCTATAATTCTGGACAGATATGTATACATCTGTAAAAATTCATCTGCAAATTCAGCTTAAGGTTTACAGATATGCATAAAAACACTTGCTGAAATGGAGCAACAATAGGTGGAATGCATATGGTATAGAGAAACTGGAAAAAAAATTAAATTCATATGGTATCTACAAACGTACCACAATAAAAATACCTCCTCGCTAATCAAAAGCATTTCAACTACTTTTTATTGGCAGTGATGTCTTGATGAGACGAACAATTTCTTTCTTTGTGCCCTCGCACATGAGTGAAAGCAGAAGACTGAAGGAGAAGGAGCTGGGGGTTAAAAGCTGCTGATGTCCCATGGTGGCGGGGAAGCAGGTGGTGAAGTGCAGAGCACATGTGGGAGGAAGCAGAGATGGAGGCCGGGCACCGCTCTAATGAAGTGGTGCTGAAGAGGCAGACGATTTCATAAGGAGAAAAACATCAGGAAACTGGTCAAAACACAGAATCTCATCTGAAAAAGCTCAACTGTGTTGGATAGCAATAGCCAGAACAAATTTGGGGAAGAGGAGGAGGGGGAGGCTGATCTCTCTCCAGAGCCCCAGATGTCTTTATCGTTGCCTAATGACAATTATACTCAACCAATTAAGACACTGCTATCACAGTTGCATTGTTAGTAAGCCTTTGGCCCTGAGTGTTGATGGCTGTCTAATTAGTGTTTGTGCAAAGTACAACTGCAACTAATATATAAACTGACAAATACACAAAAGAAAAACTGTTAACAGGAACATTTTCAAAACAGTCGAGACTCGACTCATTCAGTCCATGGCAGCAGCAAAGACAAACTGCTTTCCTTCATGGCTTGCTTACTGCTGGCACTGCAGAATTTCACTTCAAACAAGCAGGTCAACTAGATCGTCGCTGGGTTTCTGTTGAAACAGGACGCTGGTGTTGGTCCATTTTGTAGGCTGCCTCAAGCACACCTCTCCAGGGCAAGTCTGACTACACTAAGGTGG